TGCACATTAATTAGCATTTTCACTGTGGTTTTGTACTGAAGCAAATGATTCCATCTCCAGCCTTACCCAACACAGCTAAGCTAAGCAAACAAAACAAACCACCTCATCCGGTGGTGCCCTGACACCCACTGTACTACTAAAATGTAAATGTGGTAAATATTCAAGAGAGAGTGCGGAACACTTTGTGTCAGGGAATGCTGAAAAGTATATCCAAATGAAACCACATGGGAGGTTACCTCTAGCATATGCTTATGTAGGGTTGGGATTTGCAAAGCAACTTATCACATGATATTAGGAGTTTAGTTACAACTATAAAGACTTTAGCAAATGAAAATCTACTAAAAATCTAAGAATAAGCTTTTCTTTTTCCCTGCTGTGAATTAAATCTTTATTAGGTTATTATAGATGAACATATATACATGAAAAGGCTTTCTTTAAACTTTTTTTAGTTTTGTCCTAGTTGGTATTTTAAACATATTTTCCTAATACATATTTAGAAATACACACAATGTTTCGCTTGCATTCATTTAGATGCCCTTCAGTGGACAAAACCAAACCCATTCCTGAATGCATAAATGTTTTCAGATTCTCCGATTTGAAAAAATCTTTCAGGTAAGCTTTCTGCACAAACCTCAGTCTTCGACCTGTTTCAAAGGTAATGTTTTCCTTTTTTCACAACAACTTCAATCACCAGTCACCCAAAGTGTGCTTTGCTCTGTCGTCCCAGCTCTGCTCCCTGCACCACTGAGTACCTTTAAACATGTGTGCACCCATTTTCTTCCTGGCAGTGCCAATGCCCGGTAAGTGCTGGCCACAATGCCGAGCTCGAGCTGCTCCTGCTGCGCTGCTCCCACCCTTAGCATAGGGCTGGCCAAGAGCCTGGCCTCATGCCAGGGAGCTCTGCTGGCGCAGCCTCAGGAGCTACTCAAACACCAGAAACAGGGTGGAGGACTCATTGGGACTTTGGTCTGCCCTTCACTGGCCATGCCGACAGCCCTGAGGTCCCCTGGGAGCAGAAACTCAAACCCTCTGGGCCTCATGTTTGCTCCAGTGAGTCCAGCTGCAGCAGGCAGCACCAGGACTTGCCCCAAGCCTTCTGCCCAGCTTCCCCAGAAGCAGCAGGAGGTGGGGGCTGTGGGGAGCTGCCGCAGAAGAGGTGCACACCAGGTCTACCATGTTCTGTGGCTGGTGGTTGCAGCTGCGCCTCTCTGCCTGTCACCTAAGTACACAAATAAACTGCTGGAGATGGGGAGTGTATGCACTGAGGCTGATGGAGCAATGCTAGTTTAAAAGGAGGTACATGTAGAATACCCAGCTGCTGAGCTGGAAAAATGGGTTAACAATAGCCAAAGATGTGCTCCAGGAGCAGGAGGAAGGACCAGCCCTGCGGGGATTCTCAGTCACTAAGAACACAAGCTTGCAAAGGAGAGACAGCTGCCTGCTGTCCTGCATGCTGTGATGAGCACACCAGTACTTACCTCACCAGCAGCCTCCCCTCCACACACATGCATCCAAGGTTGTAACAGGCCTATAGGAAGGATTATTATTTAAAATTAATATTATTTCCATTTGCTTTTCTTAATGTAAGACAATAAACATAAAAAATTACATTCATGCAGATTTGTGGACAGTGATCTTGATGAGCACCTATGCACACAAACTCAGGCAATCTGGAGTGATGTTTACCACTGCAGTCTTAGTTTCACTGTGTACTTTTCCATAAGTCACCACAAGTAGAAAATGCTATGTATTTGCACAAGGCGCCAGAGGTATGGTTGCTATGGGAACTACAACCCTCAAAATTCCCTCTCTTTTAATTCATACAAAACCTCAATCAGAAAGCATGTTAATGCACTGCATGGCCTTTATGCTTGATATACGCTGTATTTTTCAGTACATAAGGGTTTGGGATTTTTGTTACTTCTGCACATTTTGCTTAAAAGTTTATTAGCTTCTGTCTACGCAGATTAGATTTCTGTTGACCTACATCACACTGTAATTATTTCATCTGCCCCCTTAAATTGGCAAATTAGAAAATAGCCAAGACTGTCCTGAACCTGTGCTCTTCGGTAACCCCTGTGTGTCTACCCTTATGCAGTAAGAGCAACCCTTTTGATCCATACTAAAAACTGCTTCACTCCCGTGCTACAAGGGGTGTGCGTGCTTTGTAGGCAACTGCAGAACAGGGAGACAATGCTGTGGGTCCACCCAGCCTCAAGTTTGTCCCTCTTGTACTTGCTTCAACCCTCTGGGCTCCAGATCAACCCACTTCACCATCAGTTTACCTCTAAAGCTGCAACAGGGCCCAAGCTCTAGACTTCTTCCAAGTTGGGATGGCAGAACCAGGATATGGGGTGAAGCGGGATGTCAAACGAGAGGTGCCAGGGTTGCAGGAGGTGCCACTCTTTCAGGTCCTCTGCCCTGCTGTAGTTCTTACTATTGAAGTTTGTAATCCCACCTTGCACTTTTTCTGTTTTCCTCTCTGCTTTGACTCTGATGCTCCACATAACAAAATAAGGTATTGCTACCAACCACCCTGTTCAGCTTCCTTGGGGTGGATTTTTTCACCTACTGGTGAGATTTAAGAAAATAAATGCGTTATAAAGAGGTATGTGGAAGAAAACAGAACAAAAGCCTTTCCCTGGCTTCTTGTATAAGACTTGTGTGAAACAGTACCCCTGTAAACTAATCCTTTTGTATTTGTTATACTTGTGAAAGTAAAGAGTAATAGAAAACACTCTAAGCCAAGACCCATATAAGATTACTGACCTCTTTCTCCATGCACCATGCAAACTCTTGCATATTAGTCCTTGAAATTCACATCTCTCCTTTAGCCTCCTACAGCTGACCTCTTCACCCTCGTGTTTCTTACCACATCAGCTTCAGGGTACCACATCAGGGTACCTTCACAAGTAATCTGACACTGAAGCCTAATGTGATAAACCTCCAAAATCATTACTTTACATTATTCCACTTCACATATTAAGAAGCCTGATGCACCTGGCTCTAATTCATTTGTTTGTCCAGCATTCATGTAGAGGCATGAAAAAGGGCAGATCTCAAACTTATTTCCAAGGAGGAAGGAATAAACCTGTCTGACACAAACACAGGCAGGTCTGGAGATGGGCCAAAAAATAAAACACTGTAACGCAGCACTCAAGAGGTCCCTCTTTATGAAAGGGCACTGACAAGTGGAAACAGTGATATGGGAAGCCAAAGATGACTGAAAACAAAATGAGTCACTACTATCCTTCCAAGTTTACAAGCCATTTTAAATCAAATAAGATTCACCTTGGGAGCACTGGAATCTTTCCTCTTGATCTAGCAAGCACTCGGGGTGCTGCTGCATGTTGTTCCATGAACACAGACGTATTTGCTCGTAAGTAATTTACAGTCTCTTCGCTCCAGGCATATTAGGAATGAAGCTCTAGGGAGTTTAACTCACAATGCCAAGATGCTTCCTAGATAGGAAGCTGCCCAGCTTTCCTTCTCCCTCAGCTTCTTTCAGGGATTAAACTACAAATATTTATCTGTCTTTCAAATAGTTTCCATGTATTTGTATGTGTTTGGGGTTTTTTTCCGACTCCTTGTTTCTCATGCAAAGAAATACACCATTCAAGCAAATAAATTCCCATTTGTTTCAGTCACGTCATGACCCGTCCCCCAAGCTATGGTATCATGACTGCGTCTGGTGTGTGAAACAAACCCTGTACCTCCTTCCCTGACTTTATGGCATTCTCAACCACATGACTTAAAATCACCCAGCCTTCAGGTTGTTTATACTTCAGTCATACGTGTACACAGGTTACATAAAGTCCCAAGTACTGTAAAATCATTTTGTGCTTCTAATTTAACTTCTCCACCAATAACAGAGTGGGAAAACGAGCAATGTGGGCTTGCAAAGGGAATTAATTAAACACATTTTTTCATTCTTAAAACATTCAAAGGTCACAGATCTTAGAACAGAACCGCAGAGCTGTATGCTCCCCAAATCTGGTGTTAACCAGAGTCCAAGGTTTGCCAGCATTATCAGCACGTAAAGAATCTATTCTGTCATCTCTCCCCTGCACATCCCTCAGAAAAGGAGCAATCCATGGCTACATCAGGACACTTTCCACGTTAAACATAGCTCCAAGCTGCATACTACATCCCCAGCCTGCTGCTGTGGGTAGCCTGCACACAAAGCTGCCTCTAAGGATAAACTCAGCAGCTGAGCAACAAACGCCAGCTTCAGATCCTAACTTTGATGGTTTCTGTACAAAACACCTCGCGGTACGGCAACTGCTTTGAAATGCAAAGCGATTCAGGGAGTTCATGATGTGACACACCTCGGTCACAGGAACGCTAGAAAATGGCCTGCAGGGGAAGGGAAAAGACGCAGACACCGACGAAAAATGTTTGCCGCTTCTTCCCACCTCAGTACTTCAGGGCATTCCCAAAGATAAAGGGCTTATGTCTGGGATTCATAACATTAGAAGACTGAGGACTGAAGCTTGATGATTTGAGAGGAAGCTTTTAAGTGAGACTGCTTAAAGCACAAGGTCTCCTCGGGGCCGAAGTGCCACCGCGGTGACACGCAGAAGCAAATTCCCTCAGGCTCTCGAGAGAAAACGCGGAGCAAGCCACCACGCAGAGGGCCCGGCCCCTTCTCCCGCGGGGGGTCCAGGAAGCGCCTCTTCGCCAGTGCCCCGGCGGCGGCAGTCGGCCGCGGTCGCGGTCCCACTCCCCCTGCTCTGACCCTTCCACCGGGCCCCGCCACCACAGGCACCGTTACACAACGCCTCCAGCCCAGGAGGCGGGCGAATGAGGGGGACTCGCTCACCATTGGCTCAGAGCGCGTGAAGCCCATTGGCCCGCACCTGCGCACGGTCACGACTCATCCCTCTCAATTGGCCGAGCCCGTTGCAATAATTGCGCAGAGGCCAGGGAGCGTGCCTCGATTGGCCGAGGGGCTGACGGACCGTGCTATATAAAGGCCGCGGTGGGGGCGGACCCGCAGTTCTTGGGCACGGGGTTAGAAAGGGAGTCGTGTGTGCCCGCTGCTTCGGGAACATGGCGACGCTGAAGGCTGTGTGCGTGATGAAGGGGGACGGCCCCGTGCAGGGCGTCATCCACTTCCAGCAGCAGGCAAGGGCTGGCGGCGGGCGCGACCCGGTCGCTCTGCATCTCCCCTGGGGGCGCGTCTTGGCCGTACTGCTGAGTCACGATGCAGCGCGGGCGGCGCGGTTCTTCCTCCCTCTCCCCCGGTGGACCTGTGCTGGGCGGGCTTGTCCTGGGCCCCGCACCGCTGCGGCGGTGGGAGGGACCGGTGCCGTTGAGTCCCTGGGTGCGCCGGGTGCTGGGCCCGGCCGGTGCTGGGCGAGCCGGGCACCGTAAAGCGAGACGCGGCGCGGAGGGCTGAAGGGGACTGGCTGTTTCCGCCCTTCCCGCGGGTGTGCCGCTGGACTAAGGGCTGGAGTCTGCGTTAGTCCTACTGTAGAGTGTATTTTGACACGCTAAGAGTGGGGCTAAATGGAGCTCTAACTGCTAAATGGCCTGAGCTCCTTTATGCTGTCGTTTAGCATCCTCAGTAGAGAGCTTGGGGTTTTACATGGGCAGTACTCTAAAGGAGGAATGACTGCAGGGCTACTTGTGGTTGCAAATGGAAGTACGTGATTATTCTTAAAAGCAAACAGTGTGATAAAAGGCATTCCTTTCGCTTATTGTTGCATAATACACTTCAGGTGGCTAAATAAATGCAGGCATTCTGTGAAATATCCTATTGGCATATAGAATCAGTTAACGTAAAGTAATTGTTAGTATCTTTGTAGCTGAATTTGTAGAGAAGTCTCTAGTGCTTTCTGTTGACTAGAAGTTTCATTTGATACAAGGCTATTTAATGCTGTAGCTGTTTGTTGATAACAAACCCTTTCTATTAAAGGGTAATGGACCAGTGAAAGTTACTGGAAAAATCAGTGGCTTGGCTGATGGAGACCATGGCTTCCATGTCCATGAATTTGGTGACAATACAAATGGTAAGATGTGTATTCCAGCTTTTGAGTTACATCTGTTATGTGATAGCTCAGGTTTAAAGAGTTTCTTCTAGTATTGCAGCAGCAGCTGGTAGAAGTCTACTTGGGTCTCATGACTGCAAATCTGTGTTAAGAAATAGGGACACTTCCTAAGGAATTGCTTCTCATTTAATACTTTGAACATGTTTAGGCTGGTGTTCAGGATCTCACACATCAAGCACTGACCTAAATGATTTGATAACCTAGTGTTAAGAAATAAGAAAACTTTCAGCTGAGCCCTGAGTGTTCTAGAATGAGTAGTCTTACTTTAGTGAACTTATAAATCTGTAGTAGATTACTCACCTCTAGAGGTTTAGAACATCTAACAGGAGAGTAGGTGTTTCACCATTAGTGACTTCATGGCCTCTGGCTATATACATCAGTGTACTGTATGAGCAGCAGATTTAAACTGGATACTGCAAAAAAAAGCTAATTTTGGTGGCTGTGTTCTGTTTCAGGATGTACCAGTGCAGGTCCTCACTTCAATCCTGAAGGCAAGCAGCATGGTGGACCAAGTGATGCAGAAAGGTGAGTTTAATGTGCCTGGGCTGTTCCCTGCAGCAGCCATCTAAGTGCTACTCTGTGCTTGGGAAGCCACTTCATAAACAATGCTAGGACAATACCAGAAGAAAACTGGTAGTTCCTGCAGGACATCTAGGGTCATTTGACAAAGGCTCTGATAAATCTACACTGGTTAGTTGTATACCTTGTCTCCAAGAGTATGTGTAAAGTGTAGTCTTTGGGATATGTTCTTGGTTTTGTCATAGCTTGGGGAGAAGGGGCAGTATGAAAGTTCCTCAGCATGTTAGTGCAGGGAATTCATGTGTTAAAACCTTCTTTAATCAGTGGTGATTTGCTTCTGTTGTCAAAACCTGGCCCTAAAATGGGGCACTAAACTCTCAGTTGCTGAGCTTGTATGCAGGCTTGTCATGTGCCGATCAGGTTCATCAGTAGAAGGTGCTGGGGCTGCAGGGAAACTGCAAGATGCACACAAAGCTGTGTGTGCCTGGGCATGGTGATTCTCATTGGGTGTGCTGGGCTGTTCTTAGCCTGTTAGCTTAGGTGCTGTACTGCCTGCAGTATGTACCCCCGAGGCTGTGCAACTTGTCACTACAGAGTCTGATGCTCATACCTCAGTGGGAGCTGAGACCAGGCTCTTCCCCTGGAGGCAGTTTTCATAATCCATTTATCTTCAGGGAACCCTTGCATGTTTGAGACCTGGTGTCTGGCTTAAACAGTATGCTCACCGAGTTTGGAGACTGGAAGGGGCTGCTGAAGACCAATGTGGTAGTGACTGGAGCTAGGAGCAAGTGTGAAAGGCTGGTCTTGCACAGGGGGTGTCTGGACTAGCACTGGGGCCAGTGTGGCATTGTGATTGGTCTTTAAATGCTCATATTTACGTCCGTAACTGCACTTTCTGTGACCAGTAAGCTCATACTGGAGTGATCGGTTGCATGCCAGACCAAGCAAGCTGGCTGGTGGCCACCTGTGTGGGTGATAGCATAAAATGGTGTGTTCGTGGACTTTAGTGCCAGCCAGCTGCCCCGGGGCTAAAGGTCAAAACTGAATGAACACTGCGGCTTCTGCTGTGTCAAATGCTGCTTCTGGTGTAACCTGCCTGCTCAGGCAGCTGTGGGCTGGGGAGCTCATTAGGAGGGTGTGAGAACTAGATTGTGCTTTTTACTAGTGTGGAGTTGAAACAATTGGACTGAAGCTTCCCAGAAGCTTAAAGCAAGCAAATTACTAAAGGGAAAACTGCCTTTGGCCTGATTTTGTAGGTCTTGGTTACAAATACAAAATTGGTACTAAGCTGTCTTAAGAAGCTGGCAGTCAGCATGCAGCTGTCTAAGCTGGTCACCCTGCATGCCTGTGGAGTTTTGGAAACAAGCTGGTATTCTGTGTTCTGCATCTGGATATAAGAATCTTGCAGAACATCACCAACTTGCCATTTGAGTGAATGCTTTGCTTGGCACAAATCTGTAGGAAATAAGACACTGGAATGTCCGGAAGTTCAGTGAGAACTGAACTGCTTCAGGCTTAATTCTTAAAAGAATTCCCAGTGGAGATCTAGTGCTGATAAAAAAACCTGTGGTAGAGTATAATGCCAAGTGTGTGTGGAAAATGTGAAGCAAACTCAGCCAGTCATCACTGCTCTTCATTAGAACTTTGCTAGCACTTGATGCCTCCACTTTGACCTGTCTCTTGACAACTGCTTTTACTGTCCTATTTAAACCTAAAGCCTGCAGCTGCTTGTGGAGTAGCTGATTTGTGATAGACATTAAGGGCTCTTAAGAGCTTTATCTCTTAAAGAGCAGTGGCAGTGCTTACACCAAGCCTTGTATGTGCAGGAGTGATGGCATTCCTTTCCCCAGAGTTGATGAACTGCCTGCTATAAACCCCTTTATTTTCAAGGGACAACTAAAATCTGGTCCTAGGTATAACCTGAAACTGGGAGTGTTAAAGGTTGGCTGGTGATGGTAAATGAGGACATAGTGCTGTTTAAGGTAAGATGGTGGAGTATTTGAATGTAAGAACTATGGGTATTGCATTGTCCTGGCCAGCATGTAGAAAAGCCTTCAATTCAATGAAGTTTTCAGTGAGTCTGTTTGCATCTTTGTGTAGGCACGTGGGAGACCTTGGCAATGTGACTGCTAAAGGAGGAGTAGCAGAAGTGGCAATAGAAGATTCCATCATTTCTCTTAGTGGACCACATAGCATTGTGGGACGTACCATGGTGGTAAGTGTCTTGGTGCCTACTTGGATTACTGCTTGCCTACTGCTTGCTTACTGCTTGGGTACTTATTTGCCTACTACTTTAGGGAACTGTAGAGCAGTCTTGACATTAAATGGAGACTTTTTGATGCTGGAGGCCTTTCCCTGGTGTATGTTATAGAACTTGCACTGCAAGATTTCCAAGGCAGGGAGTTATTTGAAACCTTACCTGAAAGTCCTCTGTGGATTAATTAGTGTGGCACTTCTTAGTGAGATCTTAACTTCCTGCCTGCCTTCCAGAGTTGTTCCTCCCCATTTAACTTCACCTCTTCAGCTGTGACTAAAGCAGCCTGACTTGAGGGAGACCCTAGCATGAGTGCTGTCACTGAAAGTCATGGCAAGGGTCCAGCAGGACAATCTGGTCTGGTGACTGCTGGTGTAACTTGTGCCATGGCCTTCCTGGGAAGGAGGCTGGTAGAGGCTGAGTGCATTTGGCTACTTGTCAGTGTTGTCAGTCTTGCTTCCCTTCAGATGCCAGTGTGTGCTGAGGTTGCTGCCATGCTCGCTTCTGCATCATGCAGGTGAGGGCTGAGGGGCAGGGAGGTTCTGGAGTGCAGCACTTGGGGTGATGTGGCCTTGCGTTGTGAGGGTGAATGTCAAGTCCAGCTTTGCTTTTGGGCTGCTGCTAACTCTTTGAAATACAGGGGTTTGGTGACTTCCACCTGAAACAAATTCAGCTGAAGGCAACTCATCTTTTTAGGCAAGTGTAGTCTTAGGTTTTTGGCATGAGCATCAATTTGGCGTTCAGGAATAAGTAATTACAGTAGGCTCTTTCTCCTGTGTAACACCCTGCTGATGGCTGGCAAAACTGCTTGTCACTGCTAGTACTAGTGCAAGTAGTGAAAAATGTTGATTAGTTCTGCAATAATGTGAACTAAGGTATCTTCAATTCTCTTCCAGGTCCATGAAAAATGTGATGATCTGGGTAGAGGGGGAGATAATGAGAGCAAATTGACTGGAAATGCTGGACCTCGTTTAGCTTGTGGTGTCATCGGAATAGCCAAGAGCTAAGTGTTGTACCTGAAATGTTTCACATGTTAGTGGTGAGTGGGCTGTATTTCATTGCAAATGCTGTACTTGCCCTTTCTCATGCAAAAGATGTATTGGTTAATATCATTACTTTGCATTCTGAGTATCACTTAAACTGGTGAAGACTGACTTAATTTTGTATGATGTATATTGCAATTAAAGTGACACTGATGGAATGTCTCTGTAGTTTTCTACCGAAGCATCTGATGAAACCATTAAGTACAACTTGACACACTGGAATTCTTGCTCTTTGTAATGGGAGGTGTGTGGTAGTGGGCATGTTGTGAACACTGGAACCTCCACTGTACTGTGTGATTTGGAGGATTAGCTCTAGGAGCTTTGGCAAGGCTACTCACTGAGGAGCAGGAGCCACTGTATCTGTATTGGGACTTCATCCTGGCAGAGTTGCAGCATCTGTAGGTTTCAAACTTGTGTAATAAACTTTCTGGGCAAATACACCTTGGTCTTGCTGTCTGTAAAAAAAGCAAAGCAAACTAGCACAGTCATACCTACTGAATTGCTAACAGGGAAAAGCAGGCCCGTAGTTACCTGCTGAACACCAACAGCTCCCAGGGAGATGCTAACAGCCAGTGTTAACCCAGGGGTTTTATGCACCTGAGGACAACCACAGCTTTGCATTTCACATCAGGAAGGTATTTCTGCTTGTGACAATCCCATGTGCTTGTGAAGTGTGTGTACTCCTGTGGTGGGGAAGCTCTGTGCAGCATTTAAGATGATCTGGCTACAGTGTGTGTCCTTGTGTGTTGTCTGTGCCCCTGGCAGTGCTGGGTAGTGGTGGGCTGTGTGAAGTGGAAGCCTGGAGGGATTGATGGAGCCAACAATTCTCCAAGCAATGCAGGTGCTTAGTGTGGAACAGGTATTCCCTTTAAAAGGGTGTACATAGCCACATATTCTTTATTTAATTTCATAAAGCTCTGCAACAGTGCATTTACTGCACACTGGTGCCAGCTTTTGTTATTTTCTTATATGTAGCTCTTAAATGTGTTTCTAAGTATTAGAGAAAGCCACTAATTTTAAGGAAGACCTGTAAGAGCAGTTGGCTCTAGTTCTAGATGCCTAGATTCCAGTGTAGCATGTTACATGTGAAATGGCTTTTGGTAGCAGAGTACTGTAAAAGCACATTAAGAATTACTTAGGTTTGCTGCAGGTTCTGTTAACTTACCCACCTGTACCTGTTCCTGTGATGTAGTCTCTGCTCTGATTCAGCTGCTGCAGCAGAACTAAGCATCAATCCCACCTTCCTCTCCAGCATTGGGGTGCTGCACATGTAGCACCCATAAACACCACCCTCACCTCGTTACAGCTTGGAGGATGGTTACAGTGCCGCCCCCCCCCTTTCTCTGAGGGGAAAAAACAGAGTATTTGGGAACTGTAGGTTGAGCTGCAGTGGCATGAGGGTGGTGGCAGCTCTGCAGTTTGCCTTTCCTCTCCTGGCCATTCTGGCACTGAACTTCAGTGCTTTCCAAGCCTGGTATGTGTCAATCTCTGCTTTCAAACCTGTTTCCTCTCGGCACGCTAGCTAGCCTTGAAGTCAGTGTGCTATTGGAGGATGTACAAGTTAAGGCTTAGGTTTATGTGTGAGTTGGTGTAATGAGCAGGTCTAGGCTTCTGTCAATTGCCAATGCTGTGTTGTCTATCAGTAATGGGTGCTGGCACTGAACCGATTAATCTTCATGTACCAACTTCTGGCATGGCTTATTTTAAAGCCAGAAATGTGGTAGTTGTAGAAGCATAAGGTGCAATTCCACTGGTGATGCTCCCTTGCGAGTAGGTTTATTATACACTTGCTGCTTCAGAAGGTAAGAAACTGTTCTGCAAAGTACACCCAAGGTCTGCCTAGGCTTTGCTTTCAAACTCTCCTAATACAGGAAATGGAGACGCTGAGGTGGCATTTCTGTAGGCAAGTCTTTGTCTCTTTCCCTCTTAAGTCTTTTAGTTAAAACACTCCTACCTCCTTACAGAATTATGGTGGGTTTTACCAAGTGTTAAGTCTGAGATGTGAATGTCTGGCTTTGCAGGCCCAGCATGGAACACATTAAGGACAAAAGTTTGAACACATGACAGTTGAGTTCAGTACAAGTGTGTAAACAGCTTTTTTCTCTCTTTATTCTGCTATTGCAAGAACATAAAAATAGATGTCCTTTCCCCAGTCCATGGCTCCACATTCCTCTCCTTCCCTCCCGCCTCCCTCCCCCAGAAAAATTCCCTCTGCTGCGGAGCAGCTCTGAAAAATGTAAGAAAGCAGCTGCCCTTCACTTACTTAGGGGAAAACACCAAAAGTGAAACACAGTTCTATCAGTATCAAGGAGGAAAAAAAACAAACCCAAATTAAATATGCACAGGATTCATACACCTTTTCCACTACGCTTCCAGAGTTAACCAAGCTCCAACCGCAGGGCCAGTGCCACCTGCGCCGCTGATGGCTGACTGGTGTGAGGGCTCTGACCACCCAGAACCAGCATTCACCCTCTCCAAACCTGACAGCATGACTGGGGTGATCTTGTGAGGCGATGGTGAATCCAAACGCAGGCAAGAAAGCGCCCTCCTCTCCTCATCTGTCCATCAGCCAGGCGGGTATACAGCACCAGGTGGGCAGAGGTTTCACACCTACCTCGTGCAGGGCTACAGGAGGCAGACAGTGCTAGTGCAGACAACCCGCATCTGCCTGAAGGAAGAGGTGGCATTTTTACATCCTCATGCACACCAGCCCCACTTGGAAAAACAAAGTTTAGCATTTTATAGTGGGGTTTGGTGCCCTTTTGATCTCCCTTTCACCCTGCCAGCACAGAAGCACCAGTGAGTACCAAGTCTACCAGCTGCTGACCGGGCCGGTGCCTCCCAGCCCACCATGCACACATGTAACCACATAGCAGAGGTGTCCGCTTTTTCAACAAAAGGCAAATCAGGGCAACATTGACCACAGAACCAGCTGAGAGCGGGGAGGGAAATAAAACAAACAAAAAAAGCCCTGACTGCATTGCAAACACTCAACAGTCAACTCTTCAATTCAGCTTAAAGCCACCAACTTCTACCTGCTCTGCTCAAGTAAGATCATTAAAACGCAGCACTCTTAAGAACCAAGATGACTCTTTCTTACAAATAAAAATTTGCTTCTGTGAATAGCTACACAAACAGATGTATTTCTTTTAACAAATATAAACAGAACAGTCTAATTTAGACTCCAGTACAGCATTAACAGTCCCAACTTTAAGATGCTGAACACTCCTTTTCCACTTCAGTGCAGTGTAGGAAGAATAGCACACGGTAAAGTTTGTTACGAAAATAGAGTTTATTAAAAACACATTCCTATGGTTTTGAGGAGCTTTCACCGTTACCTTTTCTTAAATTAAAAAAAAAAATAGAAAGCACTTCTACTTCTGATTTGTAAACTTTTTAAAGTCAAAACTTTAAAAAAGTTACAGCAAAAATGGGTAATAGTTTAATCATATCTTCAGTATTTCGTGTTACGCTGTGGCTATTTTAAATAGAAGGGAAGCAATCAAATTGCTTACAATTCCCCACCAACTACCGAGGGGCTGTGAGATCAGCAGAAGCAAATATAATACAGCAGACTGTACAACCCTAAAGCTCTACACTCCAACAAATGTCACTGTCGTCTCGCGACAACTTCCAGTCCCTAGCGAGGCGCCTCCGACACTGAGCCCAGATCCTTTTCTGCCTGTTCCAGGGATGAGGTAGCCGCTGGTGTCAACTCTTCCGCAGGTTTTACACCCGTGGGTTCCGAGTCTCCCGAAGTGAGTTTGGAAACAATGTCTGCGTCTCCCACTTTGCTGCCATGAGATTCGTGGTTTTTGTCGCTGTCTGCCCTGTCAGTCATCTCCTGTTTTTCCTTCCCGCGCGTTTCCTCCTTGTCTCTGCGAGACTCCCTGTCTCTGGAATCCCTCTCCCTGTCCCGATGGCCACCAGAACGCCTGTTCCTGTCCTCCAAGTCTCTGTGCCTGTCGCGCTCGGGGCTCCTCCGTCCCCACTCTCGCCTGTCACGACTACCGAGCCGCTCATGATCTCGTTCGTCGTTGCGGTTACCGTAGCGGTCACGATCGTTTTCTACCCGATTTCCGTAAGACCTCCTTCCAAACCTTTCCTGGTCTCTGTTGGGCGTGAATGTCTGCCTGTCGTTCCTGTACTGCCGCCCATCTCTGTTCTCCTCAGGTCCACCCGGTGTCCCACTTCCTGGCATCCCCCCAGGTCTCACAAAGTGACCGGGTGGTGGGAAGGGGGTTTTCATTCCGTGGGGGGGAGGCATCCCAAAGCCCCCTGGCCCTGGCGGGGGCCCTCTGTGCATCATGTGGTGGGGCATGTGTCGTGGTGGCATCAGGGGAAACCGCTGCAGAGGAGGGGGTGGCATTCCGGGCGGTCGCTGGAGTGGTATCAAACCCGGCCGGGCGCCCAAGAGGCCAGTGGAGGGAGTCTGCAACCCAACAACGGGGGCTGGTGGTGGGGGCGCAACTCCTTGAGTGCCTGAAACAGACAAACGCAGACATGCCAAATGAAATCACAGGCTGGGGGGAGGACGAAAGAAAAGGCATTTTCATCATCTCAAAACCAAGCATTCTGAAATTATCCTATAAAATGAATAACACCAAAATTGAGTGGTGGTGTGGGGGGAAGAGAGCAGCCTGCAATGCTTCCTGGGCTGGCTTACACACTGTTAAGAGAACATCCTGTTTAAACAGCAGTTCGTGCCATGCTACAAATAATTAACAGTGCAATGGCAGTAACTAGTCGCTCATTCAAAGGCTTCCTTCTGTGGAGAAGCTGCTGCGCAGGTCAGAGATCTTCCTGATCTACAGCTCGGGGTCTTGCTTTGTCAACAGAACACCTTCCTAACAGGTCACGCTTCCCAGGCTCCTAATTAAAGCCACCTCACTCCCTTCAGTTAGTTTCAAAACATCTCTCCTCCACTCCAAACATCCATGGAATCAGCTGCTAAAATGCCTGAGATTTGATGTGGCCACCAACAGGAGTTCTCACGTGCAGGAGAGGTACAGAGGGAGAGACAAAGTCAGAATAGGGCTGGAGTCCAATTGGGAAATCACAGAGAGTTCAAGGTACTATTCCATAGAAAATGGATACAACAAAGTTCAGTTTAGTAGAATAAACGCTGCAACATAAACGAAAAGGAAATGCAACAGGTGATGTGTGGATTTATTCCTGTTTTTTAAATAGTTTTCCATCCTTTACAGCACACACCCAACACCAGCTATTTTCCATTTCTACTCCTCGACTCCTCTTTTTACCATGGTCTTCGTAAGAAAGAAAAAATTAACTCTCAAAAAATACTGTTTCAGAAAGCTCAGCCCGAAGCTTGTTGGCATCAACACAAGGAGTGAAGACAAGCAAGGATTACTGAGCTCCAGAGGAGCTCCTACCAGTAAGCAAGTGCCAGCTTATCTCGTGCCTCCTTCTGTTGGAACCA